TTATCTCACTGTTCTATTTTTTTCCTCATTTGTGTTAACCCTTTCTTACATTTTTTTAAACTTCTAGGTCTTCTCAGAAGTGGTAGGAGACAAACGTTCCTTTGTAAACGGCCAAGATGGTAAGGTGAGTCGTGGTCCCTGGGAACTCTGGTGCTCTTGTCCCCAGCTAAGTGGGACGGACAGTGGGGTGATAGCGTTCCTCATTTTAGAAGGTATTTATTTGGCCGCTGCTACGCAAACACTCTCAATCCTTTTTAACTCCATGAGACTGATGCTTCTGAGTCTGTTTTCAAACAGGACACTAGAGGGCTCCCAGGGGTTAAAAATAAGTGGCAAATTACTTGAATGAAAACTGCCTCTGTGCGGCATTTGCTTTTTCTGAATTTAAAATTAAAGTTTATTTTTTAAGCTAGTTAAAAAAAAAAACCCTCATCTGTCTCAAGATCAGGTTATAAGCAGCAAGTTTACAAGTAACTGGTTTGTTTTTTGTTTTTTGTTTTTTGCTTTGCAATCAGTAGTTTTCAAGGGAGCTTTTAAAGCCGAGCTGAAATATTTGAAATGTGGAATACTCTTGACCATGAAATATGTTCTACTTACATGCCTCAGCCTCTAAAAGTTCTTTGCATTAGAGTGAGGGATTACATTGTTCCTGGAGCCAAGCACGGGGCCAGCTGTGTAAGTAAGGTTGCTTACGGTTTCTTCTTCTTCTTTTTAATAATATGAAAAAAATAGAACTAGAGATCCTTTTATTTTCTTTCAGCTGACTTTGGTGGGAAGAAAAGGAATAAAAAGTAGTTGAATTCATGTATTGCGTTTCTCTCTGAGTGTGTGACAATAAATTTAAGCGCTTTCAAGATATATGGGCATATGGCTTTATATTATAACTATTAATGTAAGAAAATGGAACATGTTATGAAGAAAAAATTAAAGAGAAAATATTTTTGAATTTGAATGTTAATTAGTTCACTAATTAGTGCAGGAATTAAAAAATAAATATGGGATAGCAATAGAGTTTTTAAAAACATCTATTATTTGTTTTACATTATTTCTGAATTTCAAAAAGGAAAAGCCTGGGTTTCTCAAATTTTAATGTTTTTCCTTCAGAATCAAATTAAATGACAAGTTATAAAATATTCTTGTATTTTTGTGTCTTGTTCTCACTAATTTAAACTGAATATCAAATCTACACATCTATCTTGTTTCTGTTTTTCAAACTTCATTAAAAAAAATATAGTGGTGATACTTATGGAAGGAAAGGGTTACTTTTTTCTTTTATTCTTGTAGAGGAACTGAACTAGTTTGAGATTGTGACTCAGTTAACTCTGTTTCCATTCATTTCCAGAAACAAGCTGCACTTCTCTTTGGGGAAGCTGACAGGAGTTTAAAAGGTTTGTTGTGGCGAGGGTCACAAACGTTCCCAACTCCATCACCAACCCTTTACTTCCATCTCTACCCGCTGGAGACCACTTAAGACACCTAAGAGGAGGCGACAGCTGATTTCAGGAAACCATGCATCATGTCAGCAAGAGCCAACTGCAGACTTTAAACTCCAATCAACATGTGGATGCGGCAGAGAAATGACCCGTCCAGACAAGCCAGGACAGCTCATAAACTGGTTCGTCTGCACCCTGTGCGTCCCGCGGGTGCGTAAACTTTGGAGCAGCCGGCGTCCAAGGACCCGGAGGAACCTCCTGCTGGGCACTGCCTGCGCCATCTACCTGGGCTTCCTGGTGAGCCAGGTGGGGCGCGCCTCCCTCCGGCACAGACGGGCAGCAGAAAAGGGGCCACACCAGAGCCGCGACACCGCCGAGGCACCCTTCCCTGAGATACCCTTGGATGGGACCCTGGCCCCTCCGGAGTCCCAGGGCAATGGCACCACCCTGCTGCCCAATGTGGTGTACATTACTCTACGCTCCAAGCGCAGCAAGCCCGCCAATATACGTGGCACGGTGAAACCAAAGCGCAGGAAGAAGTATGCAGTGGCATCTCCAGCCGCAGGACGGGAGGCTTTGGTCAGACCATCCCTTCAGCCGCAGGAAGGTGCAAGGGCAGCTGATGCCGAAGCGCCCGCGTACATCCAGGGAGGAAACCTAGCGAAGGTCGGGGAACGACCCTGGAGGTTGATAAAAGGTCCGGGAGTGCGAGGTGGGGGCTCAGATTTCCAGCTGCCCAAGGCCAGGGAGAGCAACATCAGGATCTACAGCGAGAGCGCCCCCTCGTGGCTGAGCAAAGAAGACATCCGCAGAATGCGCCTGTTGGCGGATGGCGCAGTGGCGGGCCTCCAGCCAGTGTCCCCAAAGAGCCGAGCGCGCTTGCTGGTGCTGGAGGGGAACACCGCTGGCTCTGTGCCTGGCTGCGGTCCTCGTCCCTGTGGGCTGGTCAAGCAGCCTTTGGACATGAGTGAGGTGTTTGCCTTCCACCTGGACAGGATCCTGGGGCTCAACAGGACCCTGCCTTCTGTGAGCAGGAAATCAGAGTTCATCCAAGGTAACAAACAGCTTCACAGGCTTTGTTATTTGCAGCTGTTGGGGATTGGGGTTGATTTTCTCTTTTCCCTCACTCTTTTTTTGTAAATGATTTTCTCCACCCACGTTTCACATTTGGACAGCAGCAGCAGTGTGTCTTTCCATATGCTTGGCATTCTTTATTTTCCCAGCTTTGGGAGGATGTGAGAGTTCCACGGAAACGCTGTACTCGACTGCATGCAAGAGTAAGCCCACACTGTATAATCTTTGCTCTTCTTTTTCCTTACTGCACTTCCCAGCGGCTTATTAAATCTAATTAAAGCCAATGGCAATTTGCATGATGAGGAGAGGAAGCCAAGGTAGAGCCAAAGATCTTGCTGACAGGCGTATTATTAGATAAGTTACTATGAAAGTAAGTAAAATTTCATTCGTTAGTTTTTTAAAATAAGAAGGAAGTAGGTTATCTTTCGTCAGCAGATGGAATCTTTTTAAAAGTCCCAGAGCCAGACTATGTTAGAGTCAACCCCTTGATTTTTCACAGTGGATTTAATCCCTTTATTTACTGAAGAAAAATGAGGCAAAAATGGGTGATTTATTCAGTATATGTGCTAACCAGCTATGTGGTTTTTTCAAGCCAGTGACTATTGTTTATTGAGTCTGATATCCAAGATTCTCTTCAGGTGACAAACATTTTGGCAGGTTCTAGGGTATGTGGCCAGTCCTTTCTGTTGCAGGCAAAAGGGGTTGGTCTGTGGCCATGCTCTTGCCATATAGAGGCTATTCTCTGAGTCTTGAGTATCTTACAAGGTTTGAATACAAAGTAGGGTGGGTCAATGGCTGTATTGAAAAGCAGAACAATCCCAAAAGGACTCCAAAGAGGTTATAAACTCAAGGAATATTCCCTTGTTTCCTGTCACGGTAAAATTTAGTATTTTAGTGAGAGTCCCATGGACTCTAGACTGGAATGGATTGAAACTCTTGAGACTGGCTAATAACTAACTGGATTCTCAATGGCTTTAGGATTATAATTTAATCTTAGAATGGGTACTTCTTGAAATAGCAGTGATTTGCTAAGGCAGATATGATATCCCTTGCTTATCTCGGTTCATATCTAAGTGCTTCAGGTTTACGAGTACGTTTCAGTGTCTCAACTTCTCAAAGTAGCCCACTATGATTATGCTGATATGGGATAGCATCTTAAACTTTTAACCAAATATTGGCAAAAGCTCACTTTTATTGGGTGCTCACTGTGTGCTAAGCACTATACTAATTGGTTCCTATAGTTCATACGTGCACTGACTCCTATCATTCTCACAACAGTGCTATGAAGGAGGCACTATTATTATTTCCACTTAGTAGATGAGAAAGAAAGGTTTATTTTAGGCAAAGTAATTGGTCTCAACTCCCATAGCTAATGTTAATGGCTAAGCTGGGTTTTGAACCCAGGCCCAGCAAAATCAGAATGTAAGCTCTCAACCACTGGGCTTAGGTGACTGTATTACTTATTATTCAAACTGGAACACCCTGGAGTAAAAGAAGATGTTGGTGGGCATGAGATAACAGGCATATACTGAGGCTGTTCTGGGCATAGGGTCACCTTTGTTCTGATATATTGCCCTTCATTTTCATCTCATAAAGGCTCCTGAGAAGAGAAGGTGAACTTGAATAGATCCTGAGGTCCGGCACTCTGATTTGCCCTTTGATCTTCCCTGGGATGCTTCTGGATGGAAGTTAAGAGAATAGAGCAGTGGGTAGGAGCCTGGGCCTTGGAGCTGAACTGCTTGGGGTTTGAATCTACCAGCCATGTGACCTGGGAATGTTATAGTATCTCTGGATGCCTCCGTTTCCTCAACCGTAAATGACAGTAATACCTACCTTTTGAGGTATTTGTTAGCTAATATGTGGAAAACACATGGAACCAGTGCTTGTCACACAGTAAACCTTTGATAAATGTGGGCTACTTCTGCTACTACACTCAGCACATAAGGTACCAAGTTAATTGAGTTGCTCACATAGCCTCCAAGCCTCACATATTATTTCTTTATGTAACAGAACTAGTACGACAACCCACAGGTCTCTTGACTGCTTAAACTTTTTGATACCTGGATTCCTCTTACATATTTAATTCTGTGCTCTGAATATGTAGCATTTTTAAGAATGCTAAGAGGGTAGTTGCTTTCAGTTTGAAGGAAGGGTGTATAATCCCAATATAGCCTCATGTTCCTCTTTCCTTTCAGAAGTAAATAGTAATGGAAAGAAACAAAGTTGTACTGATATGAGTTTTGATGTGACGAATTAAATACTTAAGATTATTTCTCACACAGTACCAGATCTTTCTTTGCTTTCTTTGATACCTTCTCTGATTTAGTTATAAAATCAGGTCAATTTCCTCAAGAGTCTATGAAATAATCTAAGTATAGTTATGAGCACTACACAGTATAATTCTACTTATATAGACTATTATACTGATGTAAGGTACATAAATAGATCTGTTCTGGTCATGGTAGGAGATAATCTTAGGTTCTTAGTATCTTTTTCCATCTACCAATTTCTAGTCTTTCTGATTTGTGTCTTTCTTCCCCTGATTTTCACAGAAGTGTATTTTTCTTTTAGAGTCCTCTTTTTTTTTTTGTCCAAGCTTTGCTTTATTTTCACCTCCCTGTCTACCTAAGGAGGTGATAGATCTTACCTACTTACCCAGCACTTATTTCTGGCTCATTCTGTGTCATTGCTTTGTATTATAATTGCTTGGTCAATAATCTGTTCCTTTTTAGTAGTCTCTAGGTTTGTGAAGGCAGAGATATTCTCTGTCTTTTTTATCATTGCATTTCTAGGTCCTTGTGGAGAGTCTGGCATATAGTAGGTGCTCAGTAAATACTTTTGGATAATAACAGGAATGAATTCTTGGCCTGTTTCACTGACTGTAAAGAGTAGATCTACATTTGCCTCCAGCTTCCAATACTCAGGACAAGTGCTACTGATTTTAGTCCTAAGTCCAGGCCGAGATTTCTCTTAGAGGATCTTATAAAGAGCACATTGTAGAAGTAATGAAAAAGGTCCTTGGCAGCCTCTGTACAACATGAAAAAAAAAGGTTTGTAGAGCTTTTTCTTGTGAGGCCCAACAATGTGATCTGCTGACCTCACCATACTGTGTTTTGCTAATGAGTTTTCTGTAGGAAGAACAATAGGATTTAGTTTAAGTATATATTTCTCTGATGATCTGGCTTGGTTAGGAGTAGATCTTTTAATATCTGGGAGAGTGGGTAGCCAGCAAATCCTATAAGTTACCTTCCCGAAATGATGTTTCTGTTCTCTGACTTTTGATTAATGTTTGTGAAAATAAATTCATGCTTAGCATCAAGAACATAGCTAGTCTGCATTTTGAGTCAAATATAGGTATTTGGCTTATCTTAGTTAATCTTTCCAAGAAATCTATGCAGTAGACTTTTTTTTTTTTTTTACCTCAATATTGAGATGAAGAAAAAGCATTAGGAGGACAGCTCAAGGTCATACATTGAGTTAGTTGTCCAGAAAGAATTCAGACCCTTGTCTTCTAACTTCAAGTCTTTCCTCTTTTCATCAATCTTCTCTCAACAAATCTTTTCTTTCTCCATCACCATAACCTATTAGTATATATAGTTATTTAATACAGCTAGAAATAGATGACTTACACACTGATGCATAGATACAGGCTAGGGGAACCTCTTTTTTCTCAAGGAGACAACAACCTTAACCACAGCAAGAGTAATATAGATGAATTCCAGGCGAATCTCTTTGAATACAAAAATATGCATGTGAAATGAGTAGACTTACTGGCTCTGTACTGTATACAAGACCATTTTCTGACAGGTATTACCCCAAAGTTAACCCAGCAAATGAGAAGGATGTACTTGGAGAAGGGCAAGGTTGTAATTAGATGGGGAGTACCTGCAGTGTACCATACTACAAAATCCAGCAATCACCCCTGGAGCAGAGTCTCACCCTGCATGTCTCTGTGTGGGAAACGCAAAAGTGAATTGAAATGTAGCATCAAAAGGCCTTTTTATAAAAAGTCCATATTTGCATTAATGAAGTCTTCTTCATTTGTGAATTTATAAAGAATCTAGTGTTCTTTATCACACAGTGCCTATACTGCACTTGATGTCTTTTGTCTATCACTTAATACTTCTACACAGAAGGTAGTATTGATACTTTACATATGGGAATCCTGAGGCTCAGTGAGGTTATGAAATTTGCCCAAGGATGCCTAGCTAGTGAGCAGTGGAACTGGAATTCGTACCTAATTCTGATACTAAAGCCTCCTCATGTTGATTTACTTCTTACATACCACTTCTCAAATATAACTTGGTATAATTATGAGGTAGTGACAAAAACGGACAGACTTTAGCATGGTGATTTCTGACTCACCATCATATCAACATTTCTATTTAATTTCTTTTTTCCATCTAACAATTTAACATTGATAGTTTTACTCAAGGAGCGTATTGACATACCACTCAAAGTATTACTACGAGGTTTAGTTTTGGGTTTTTGTTTTTAATACAAGCCAATGCTTACCAGATTTTCTTATCTTAACAAAAACAATCCTGTGCATGCTAATATAGCTGAACATATTAGTGTGTTTTCTGCCAAACTATCCTTGCAAAAGTCATGAATCATTACGAAGATCATCAGACACTGTGTGGTGCTGATAACATTTAGATAATTGTTTTAGCAAAATATTTAAAAATGTTTGTCTAAAACAGGACAAAGCAGACTGTGTCCATGTAAAAGTAAAGGACATAAGAAAAGCCAGCGCCCCTCTGTGACCTTCGACTTAGCAGCTTTGCCAAAGCTGTCCCCAGCAGTCTACACAGTAGTGTGGCTGAATCCCAGTGGACACCACTCTTCGTAGCATTTAAGCATTGTACTATTTTTCATGCCCAGCATGGAAGGTGCATTTTGTATGTTTTATTTTTAGGATGCTGCTTTATTGTCACAGAGCTATCATATTGAACAAAGGTAGCCTACTTCCAGGAATTC